AGGGAGGGAGGGAGGGAGGGGGCCGTGCTGTCGCTTGAGGTCTGGCGGAGGCCGGTCAGCCTTGGCGACGGGAAGGGAGGTGCCCGCAGCGTCGTGTTTCACGCGCCCTTCTTCAGGAGATGGCTGCCATCAGTCATCTCACATTTGGTTTGAAAAGGCTTGTCTCGCCGGCAAGCAAACTGTTATTTAAGTACACAATCCACTCTGCTACTGAAACAGTTTTGCCAAACTTATCCAAGTATTCTAACATGCTTAAAGATGGTATAAATATCATTTATGGCCAGCAGTTTTCTTCAGACTATATGGAATGTCTTCCTGCTGCCTGATCTAAGTGTCCCAGTTTACATTATGGCCTTTACTGCCTCTGTTTGATGGAGTGATCAGTAAAAATTTAATGACACTATAAAATAATAAAAATGTCATTAATTTACCACGGATCTCAGATGCAGTGGTTGTAAAGTTACATTAATAAACAGAATATTTTTTACAACAAAAAGCATTGTTACGTGGGAACGTATAAATAACACCCATAAATTTAAGAGCAATTTTACTGTTAGCACACACATTATTATGGAATAGCCAATAAGTGTATAAAACATAGTATATAAAATTTTATTAAAATATACTGTGCACATCAAAAATTCAGCTTTTATCTAAGCGCAAAGAAAAGCCATTATTGTGTGCTTACTGTTTCATGGCTGTTCTTTCCCCCATCACAATTTTACATTTGTTGCCAGTAAGAGGAAGTTGATTCCCCCCCCCTAGATGGAAACAAACCTCTGTTCTTTTAGTTTCCCCAAATCCATTCTCTCTGTTCACCAATGCAAAGACAAAACTGATCAATCTTGCCATGGTGGGAAGGGAAAGTTGCTAATTTAATGCAAAGTTAAAAATAATGCCTGAGGAGTTGAGTGGTGTGTTCGGTGACTCTGGAAATAGGGATAATAATGCAGCAGTCTATCTGTCACCGCGAGGCTGCCGTCATTGACTCTGACAATATGTGAAGATGATGGATGCCGGGGTCTTGTGGCTTGTAACATTTAACATTCATCAGCTCTCACTAAAGGGGGCTTTATCATTTAAATATCTTTATTTAATATGCAACGTCTACCTCATACATCATAATTTCAAAGCACTTAGCCAACAGCCCTACAACACGGCAGAGCCGACTTTCATTTCTTTCAATAACTTTTATGTTGCCTGCATGTTTGCGACTGACAATGTCTAAGTGTCTGATCACATCGTTGCACGTAAAATGAACATTTCTCTGTCAACATGAAGACTGGGGAATTTTCCTGGGGCCTTGAGATTAAGTTAGCATTGAGGTGTTTTGCTTATATGTCCAAAATATCTTACTTGGGAGCTATGTACATTGTAAGAGGTAGTTCAAGTGCATGGAAAAATTTGGAGTTAAGAGTTTGCCACCCACAGTCTGTATTTGTTCCATACAGGCACATGCCCATTGGCACTTAATGGCTAGAAGTTGAAGCCTCTTGGAACTAAAGCATCCTTGAACTTCTCTCTGTGGCCATATCCACATCCTGTATTTACTAGGCTCATGTTCAACCTTACCAGTAAAATCTTTGCTTAGCCCAGAGCTAACTCGTAGACATCAGGCCCTCTTATCTGATGGTTATGTTGCTGGCAAATAAATATTCTGAGCTATTCTTTGAAGAAAAGAAGGGAATCTTCTGGGAGACTAGGTAGAAATGTATATGAAAGGGCAGGACTTGGCGGGGGCCTACTTTAATCTCAAACACAGTGCTTAATATTACCAAGTATAAAATGTAGCCCACCACCCAAAACATTTTTTATCATAGACTTATTTTCTGCAGTTTAACAAGTGTTTCATAGGGTATTCTTCCTTGACTTCTACTGTGTCAAAATATTGATATTTTATAAGGAAATTATCTCTGCAGAAAAATTTTTTTTTCAGTGAAGTCAGAAAAGCTCATGACTTCAGAGACACTGTGAATGTGTTGTCGAATGTTCTGAATGTTTTTTTGTTATGATAAAAAACAAGCTGATACTACTGAATTGTGAGTGCACTTCATTTTTCTTTAATAAAAGAAAAGATATCATCATCATGTAAGCTTTGTTGTCTTAGGATTTTACAAACCATGGCATGTAATTTTCCCTCTTCTCCTTCCTTGTCAAAATATTGATATTCTTTCAGGAACTTTATTTATTTATTTATTTATTTACTGAGACTATTTTCAGGCAAAATCAAAGAGAATGAATGACTAGAGAGATACTTGGAATATGCATATTGATAGGTAGCGCGGTCTGTTGATTTTCAGAGAAAGTTATTTCCCCCTCCCAGGAAAATACAGTTAAAGGTTGTTCTTCCAAGAAGATTGCAGGTGTCACATCAGAATTCCTGCGTTTGACAAAGGGAAAGCATTCGCATGCAAATATCTGAAATGCGGAACAATGCGATCTAACAGAGGTTGGATATTTTGCTTTCCCTGGTACTACTCATCTTCACTTTTATTCTTTCCTTTACATTATAACAACCAAAAGTGCTAATCAAAAATAGAAATTGGCTGATTAAAAGCAGCTGTCCTCCCTCCGACAACATGTAGACTCTCGCATGGCTTGTGGCTGCTTTTTGTTGTGGCCTGTGTCTGGGTCAGTTTGTTCTTGTGCAGCACTGTTTCCATGCAAGATATTAGGGAACCATACCTAACTTGCCTTTTATTTTCATTCTGTTGTGTTTTTTTCGTAAGTGTCGTATTTCAGAGGTTTTCCCACATTGTAACTACTCAGTACTACCCAGTTGGGGAAATTCATGATTATAATTTTGTTGCAGATCTTTCATAGAAATCGTGCTAGATTAAAGTAAGGTTTATGCTGTGTTTTCTTCCAACACAGACTTCAACATATCCCATGATGAAGGGGAACTGGAAGACTTTCTGCACAATTTGACTGATGGGAATTAATTATAGAAATATAATGATATTCAAAAATAATCATATTAGAAAGCACAAACGTAGTGAGACTGTACAAATGAGACACAGCCTCTATCAAGTAATTGTATGTTTGCTCTTTAAGAATATTTCCAAGTTTCTAAACATCTTACAGAAGAGAACACTCGGAGTGTTTCCATCTAATGCCAAACATGCTCAGTGCAGAACTAGGTCATTGAACAATAGACTGAACAGCAATCAGCACTCTGCTGCTGCATAATGCATTAAGTATAACATGCAGAAACCATTCCCGGAGCTGCAAGCTGCTATTTCATGTCTGTAAATTCAAGCTGACATGACATTTAATATTGTTTCATAGTAATGCACAACAAGGTTTCATTCATTCTTAAGCACAACACAAAGCCAAGTTTGAGTCTGGATTGTAGCAGGGAGGCAAGAACGGGACACGCGCTGTGCTCCCGTAGACAAGGACACCCTGTAATGATCCCAGCGCACCCTCCGCTACTGATCCAGAGGGCTGCGGAGGGGGAGCTCACTGTGATGTTTTAGGCTCCCGCTTCTAGAAGAACCGGTAAACAAGTAAAACATCTCTGGGTTTCCCTCCTATAGCAAGCAGCAGGACTATTTAACTTTCTTGACTCTGTGGCTTGCTAGGAGTAATGCCCTTTTCACATCCCAGGAAGTTAAAGTTGAAACTCCTAGGCAAAATAATAACATCAGTGCCATCATCTAGTTTGCCTGCCTTGAAATACTTGTTTTTGAAGTCCTCTTGTGTAAAATCCTGATGTGTATTTTCCCAGGAATACCAGTGAAAACTATAATCTCTAAATGGGAACATGCCTCTCCCATGAAATAGCAGAACATCTATTTTAATGGGAACTGCTCTTTCAAGTTTTGCACCTTTGGCTGAAACTTCTCGATGCATTCCTTTTAGATTACTGGAGCAAATCCAACAGAGAGAAGATGCCCAGTATAGCACTGGCAGGCTTCCTGTCACAGGTTTCCTTTCCTTCCAGGTACTATTGTTTAGAACCTGTCAGCACTGTCAGGGCTACAGTCCGGCTTCAGCGGAATCTTCCCGAATGGTGTTCTGAGCCCAAGATGAACAGAAATGATGTTTGTAAATCCAAGTTTTGCCCGTTAAGCAAGATAGAAACCGGAAGGAAAACATGGCTGCTTTGGGAGCTAGAATAAGACTCTGATTATTCTTTCCTCTAGGAAAGAACGCGCTTTGAGAATTTGGGGCCCCAGTTAACAGGCAAGTCAAGTGAAGATGGAAAGCTGGGCCCAGGTGTCATCGATCTTACACGGCCAGAAGATGCAGAGGGTGAGTGGCTTTTGTGTAGCTCTTTTCTGCTGCTCTGGGTGTTTGTGAAAGTGTGTCTTAGTTAAATACAGCATCTTCATGGTCTTTCTTGGGAGTACCAGCTTGATTTGCTTGGCAAAGCAGAGGAAATGTTCAGTTTCATTATATGATGTAGTTGGGGACTTAGAGATGCAGCTAGATCCTGTATTACTGGACACACAGCAATCCAAGTTCTTCAAGGTGCCATTTGAGTTTAAAATACAAGGACTCTGCATTCCAGTGAACAACAGAGTTCTGTTTCATTCGCTTCACTGCATTCTTGTTAAAAAAAAAAAGGAGGGGGGCAAATATACAAAGGAGGATTTTTTTAACCCCAAATCAAGTGATCCCAGGTGCAATCAAACCACGTTGGGAACTAAATGATGGTTTCAGCAGATTTGGCATGAAATTAATAAAGACTTGGGTAAGGCCCAGCCTGGGTCTGGCACTAACCATGACTAGAGCCTTTGGAAAGTCTGGCTGGAAAGACTGGCTTCACTCAGTGTGCTTACCCGCAGCACTGTCAATGCCTGTCTACTCCTCTTCCCTTTCTGTTTGTTTGTTTTAAATGCACAAGCGGCACATCAGCAGAAACTGCTCCCCAGAGGCTGGGTCCAATTTATGAGTCAGGTCAGCACTTCAGTAGTAATGTTGCCTGGTTATTTACTGTGTCATCACAGAGTAGGGACTGGTTTTCCCGTTAGTTGTTCCTTTGGCAGAATCCCCCCCGACAGTCAGGGAAGATTAATTTGTTCTCTTCAGAGTAACACAATACTTCACCTACCTTGGGTCCCAGCTAAAGTCTGTCTTTAGCTTCAGGGGAAGAATCTTTCCATAATCCCTTTTGCTGGCAGTATTTCTCCCAGGACCCCAGCCCCTTGAAACACATGAAGCATCTGACCTGGGCATAGCTTCCACTGGTAGCTTGGGCCATCCGGGTAGCTCGGAACCCCCTGGCACGAGCACTAAGAGGTGGGCAATATAGGACATTAGGAAGCACTTCAGAGGGCTTCCAGAGGCAGAGTTTTCATACCAGTAGGAGAGACTGCTGGTGAGTGATAACCCTGGGGACAGGGTAGTAAAATAACTCTGATTGGAACGTGTGTATGTGGGGGGCGTGGGGGTAGAGAAGAGAAGAGGAAGGGGAGGGAAAAAGAGGATTGAAAACCAGAAATATGCTCACTGGCTTCTAGAAAAATGTGTACCAAGAGCACCCTGGCAGTCCTGGTCTCATAGGCACTTAGAAGTGCAGGTGGTTCTCTGGTGAGGATTCGGGGTCCTTGGCCTAGGGAAGCAGTGTCCAGGCCGGGCCCATCTCAGTTTGATGGGAAGATTGTACTGTAGAGTAATTAAATCTTTGACAATATACAATGAAATAATATTTTTCATCACTTTGAAGTGTTTAGTCTGTTTGTTTTTTCAATAGACTAGGAGTTACAGAGTTCTATCCTTACTCTTGTTCTAATGGAGTTTTCCTGATCTGTCATTTACCCTTCTTCATTTGATTTTTTAATGGTATAATAGGTATAAATATAGTAAGTTATCTCTTCGTAATGCTAATAATCTAGTTGATGTTATGTTCTGGGTAAGTTAAAAATTATGATCAGTTATTGACCACTATGAAAGGAAAAAATGAAAAGCTTAACTGTAGAAAATATGTTGTATAGAAGTCTCTTTGGAAATTCCATTCAATACTGGATTGTCTGGATTCAAACCAACTTCCTGGTTACGTATTTTTTTGGGGGGGGGCAGACATTTATCAAGCACTTATATGCCAGAGACTGTGCTGAGTTTTTACACACATTTTCTTTATTTAAGCCTCATATAACTCTGTAAAGAAGGTATTATTATTTTTCCCATTTTATAGATGAGAAAATTAAGGCTGAGGGCAATTAAGAAACCTGCCACAGGTCCCCCAGCTAATAAGTGCAGTGCTGAGAGTTGATCCCAGGCAGCCAGGCTCCAGTACCCAAGCTCTTAAATACCGGGCTATACTGTGCGTCCTATATACACAGATATGTATGTGGGGCCTTCACTTTTCTGAGCAAACTTCTTGTGACCTTCCTCAGAATGGCCCATTTCCTCTCCCCTAAATATAGCAAGTCACGCTGCGCACCAGCTCTCGTGTTACTGTCACACAGCAGCAATGCCTGGCGAGTGTAACAGTAGAAGGGCTCTAGTGGCCCAGGAGCTTAAGGAGCGTGTGCAAACCTCCCTTCCGAAGCTTGCCCGGAGTTGCCATTGAGACCTCATGTGGTTTTGGGGGACTGTGAGTTCATGAATGGAGTCAGGTTACATGATCTAATACCGACAGAAGTGTGATGCCTTTGTGAGGACTGCCGGGATGGTAGCAGCCTTCTGCTGACTGCAGGGTATTTCCTGGCATCTGTTCAAGTGTGAGCTGATCGCAAAGCCTGCCGGAGTTACAGTTCTTATTAGAGTCAGAGTAGATAACAGGTACACATAATACTTGCTCCACTTTGCTCCTTTCCCTTAGCAAGAAGAGTAAGAAGGGACAGAAGTGAAAGTGTATCTAAAAGATTTATAAACTTCTGTCAGTTTGTGGTCTTAAAAAGCAAGCAAACAAGCAAACACATATTTCCAGAGTGCCTACCATGTGCCAGTCCCCAAACTAGACACCGGATAGACCAAAGGAAACAGAACAGGTATGTTCCTGACCTCTTGGAGTTTAAAGTCTAGTGAAGGATGACAAAAGATTAAAAGGAAAATGCAGACATACATACAGACAGACACACAGACAATTATCACTGAGAAAAGTACTAAAAGGACCAAGATCTCTTTGTGCCTCACAGAGATTCAGAGTGAAGGTGACTTAGGTGAGCTTAAATGACAGGTGAGTTTGGTGGCTGCAGCCCAGGATGTTAACCCTTCACCGTCCATATATGATCATTTCCATGTTTCCTCTAGCTCTGGAACAGAAAAATTAAAAATTTTAGCCTTATTGAGATATAATTGATATATATAACACTGTGTAAATGTAAGGTGTGCAGTGGGATGATTTCATGCACGTATATAATGGAAAATGATTACCACAATAAGGTTAGTCAACACATCTGTCACCTCACATAATTATCTCTTTTTTTGGATGAGAAAATTTAAAATCTACTCCTTAAAAAGTTTCACACGTCTAATACAGCATTGTTAACTATAGTCACCACGCTGTGCATTATATCCCCAGGGGTTATTCATCGCTGACCAACATCTGTCCACTTTCCTCACCCCCAGCCCCTGGCAAACACCATTCTGTTCTCTGTTTCTATGAGTTTGGCCTTTTTCGATCCCACATATAAATGAGATCATACTGCAAATGGCAGGACTTCCCTTTCTAAGGATGCATAACCTACCGCTGTATCTATATCACATTTTCTTACCCATTCATCCGTTGACGTGCACTCAAGTTCTGTCCATGTCTTGATTATTGCAAATAACGCAGAACAGCAATCTTAAGGGCTGTGCCCTCCCTCCACTTCTACCCCACCGCCTGTGGGGCTTCTGAGGTGACGGACATCAGTCGGCCTCGGGGACCAGGCCCTGCTCCAGCCAGGCTCCCGAGGAAAATGTGTGCCCGTCCTGAAAACGCCAATATCACTTAGTAAGCAGCTTGTAGACCTGCTCCATAGCTCTGAGCGTGGAAGCCGAAGGGAAAGGTCACCAAAACAGGCAGCTGTGCATGTGTATTAACCACTCATCAAAATCAAATGACAAAACTATAAGCCAGGAAAACCGAAATTAAAAATATAAAAGGCAAATGCCTTCAAAATTTTATTTTTAAAGTCCAGCTGTTATTTGGCTTGAATATGACAAGACAGCATTTCTTGTTCACCGTGATATTTATAAAACTACAGATTCATTGGTGCTGGGGGATCAGGAAACACGTCTAAGGTCTTGTTATTCTTCGAAGCAGTTGAAGGCTTCATATGTTTTGAGCACGCAAAATTTGTTAGCTCTCATGTAGAACATGCAGGGAAGAGAGGACTCAGTTGAGTCTGTCACCATGTATTAAGAATGACAAACAGCTGTTTAACTTTTTATGGACTTTTCATATGGCATTTTTCCTCTCCTTGCTCTCCTTAAGCAAGACTGCAATTCTTATCCCAACTCTCCTAATGTTGAGGTTGCAAAGTACAGTAGAAAGGGCTCTGGTCTTGTTATTGGGAGATTTAGATTAAAACTCTTTTGCTAAATGATGGCAAACAAGGGACTAATTCCTCTGGGTTTGTTTTGTTTCTTTTCTTTTCTTTTATTATTTTATTTTATTCATCACCGTTTATCCCCCTCTGCCTCTTCCACCACCCCACCCCCCCACAATCACCGCACTTTTGTCCATGCCCATGAGTTCTCTCTCTTTTTTTTCTTTTTTGCTCAATCCTGCTACCTCCCCCCG